TCTTGAGAGCCGTCGATAGCTGTACTAGCACGAAGGGCTTGAGCGTGCTGGCCTTGTTCAAATTGTTGATCTCGCTAGATAACACGCTCCCTTCCCGAAATAGTTGCAGTATAAACACACGTAGGCTTAGTGGGTGTTGAGCAAAAACAAATATGCCTGAGCGAGTGTCTGCAATAGGGATTGGCTAGCCACCCCGGTAGACGTGTATCCTCGAATACGAGTGGCCAGCTATTATATTAGTATCCTGTAGAGCCGGGTCAAAACTATGGTCCTTAGTCCCTATAGGAGGATAGTTATTTATTGATAGCACTTTTCTTAGTATATGGGATGTTTCTAGTAAAGTGATCTTTTGGGCAACTTATATGTTGATGCCACCTGGGACACTGTTAGTAAAATTGTCCATTCCTTTTCTCAAGAGGCCCAGAGCTCCGATTACTATTGGTACTATCTCAGTCTTCATTCTCCACATCCTGTTAATCTTGATCTCCAGGTCCTTGTATTTGGACAATTTCTCGATCATTTTCATGGAGGTGTTTCTCTCAGATTGTACTCCTATGTCAATAAGAACAGATTTCTTGAAATTCTTTATGATAATATTAGGTGTGTTGGTTTTTATTTCCCTGTCAGTTTGAATTGGCATGTCCCAGAGGATAGTTACATCATTGTTATGGGTTATTATTATTATTATTATTATTATTATTGTGGAGTGAAACGAAAGAGCGTTACTTCAAGTCGAGAATATCACCATATTTGCTAAGAAAGCGATCACAGCGTTTGCTTCTCCCCTTTACTTCTTCTTCTTCTTCTTTTTCTTCTTCTTCTTCGCATTATTATTATTATTATTATTATTATTTATGTGTGTTACGTTGACTGCTTTGTATCCTGTAGAGCCGGCTCCAAACTATGATCCTTAGTCCCTAGAGGAGAATTGTCATTTAATTGACAGCACTTTTCTTAGTATATGCGATGTTCCTAGTAGGGCGATCTTCTGGGCAACTTGTACATTGACATTACCCGGGACACTGTTAGTAAAATTGTCCATTCTTTTTCTCACGAGGCCCAGTGCTCCGATTACTATTGGCGCAGTCTCAGTCTTCATTCCCCACATCCTGTTCATCTCAATCTCCATGTCCTTCTTCCTTCTTCTTCTTCTTCTTCTTCTTCTTCTTCTTCTTCTTCTTCTCATTATTATTATTATTGTTGTTGTTGTTGTTTACCTTTTCTGGTTAGTGCAACCCTTTACCTTTCACCCTTGACCTAGGGTACGCCAAGGTACTGTTATTGAGAATTGTTTTCTCTTTGTTTTATTATTAACGGTTCCATTATTTTTTTAAGCAAGACTCCTCGCTCTCACATTGACTGCTGACCTGAGATGGAACAAATACATTGAGTCAATAGCTTCGTCCACCACAACGAAAGTTGGCTCCCTATGCTGCGCCAGGAAATTTTTCTCGCCGGAATCGGTCTTTCAAATCTACAAATCATCCATTCGCCCTTGCATGGAGTATTGCTGCCATATATGGTCTGGTGCCCCTTCTGTTTCTCTCAAGGTTCTTGATAAGATCCAGACACGGATATGCAATATAATTGGCCCTGATCTGGCATCTCGTCTACAGTCGCTCTCTCACAAACGTGCCGTAGCCTCCCTCTGTCTTTTTACAAATACTTTCATGGTAACTGCTTTCGTTGGCTCCTAGACTTCATGAATTTAAGCGTTCTACTAGGCTGGCATCTCGCTCACACCCTTTCACTGTTGAAACTGTTAAATGTAGCCGTCTCTTCTACTCCAATAGCTTCATGTCCCGCACCTCTCGCCTGTGGAACTCCCTTCCCTTTTCCTGTTTCCCTGATAGCTGTAATCTCCAATTATTCAAATGTAATGTCAATCGACGTCTCCAGATGCCTTGATCTATCCCCTAACCTTCTCTTCATCCTTTCCTCTATTACTACTCTTTGCTCCAGATTCAAACAGCAAACCGTCCTGGGTATGACGATAAACTACATCCGCGTTCTGGGTCAGACGATAAACTGCGTCCAACAGCAGGGCCTTTGATCAGGAGGTTTTGATGAGCGTGGGACAACTACTTGGTTGCCAGTATTCCCATGTCCGCCCTAGACCGGGATGCTGGAATCTGTTAGGGTTTCGACTATGGGTGGATAGTTGCCCCCCACCCCGGGATGGCGTCAAAGCACTGTGAAAATGTAAAAATAGGTTTTTAATACCAGAAATACTTTGTAAAAAATTATTACCAGAAATAAATTTTTGAAAAATAAAATATTACCAGCTATACATTTTTGAAAAGTTTATTACCAGCAATAAAAATTTTGTCGGCGTTAAATAACCCATTGACTGAAGTTGATATGCCGTAAACCAAACCAAACCAAACCAAACTACTGGCTTCAAAACACATCGTTCAACACACAAGCGTATCATAGTTCAATAGCGTCAATATTTATAATCAAACACCAAAACAATGAATATGCTTAACAAATGTATATGTGGGAAACATTTTCAATCCGAAGCTACTCTTAGGAATAAATCTATTTCAACCCAGTTTCGGGTGTTTATTTTATTATTTTATTATTATTATTATTATTATTATTATTATTTACATTGATATTAACCCTGTACAATGCCCGAGAGCCACTCGAGGTAGAGAATTACAGAGTAATAGTCAGTCAGGGTTTAGGCGGATGTGTTGGGAAGATAACAGTTAACCCTAGACTTGAACAGGTCAACATTGTAGTGATCAGGGAAACATCCTCTTGGGGGGTTGGTTCAACTGTACAGCGGGTCACGGGAAGAAGCTGCACGGTTGGAACTTGCATCTTGCCAATCAAATATGAAGGGAATGAGTGTGGATCGCTACAATAAAAAGCTGAACAAAGGCTTTGAAAATTATTTGACGATATTATTGTAATTTTTATATACTAGACGTTTTTTGGCACCACGCTGACGTGTATTGAAGTCCTCACCGTATTTAGTATTGTTGAAGTTATCGTTAATATCTTTGCCGAGATTTACAAACTCTACGTTTCGTTCAATTTCGCATACCAATCGATGAATTTGAATAAGCTGATTTGTTTTGAAATTACTTTGACAAAAACCCTACTTTGCCGTTTAATATTCTCTTTAACTTAATTTAATTTTACAGAACTTCAAAGTAAACAATATTTTTTAAGAAAATTTCATGTTTTTCCTCATTTTTAATAGCGAAGAATAAATTCTTAGGATTTCTTACTCTTAAGCATGCAACCTGCAACTGATCATGCGTAAATATTTCTTTCTGGAGGCAAATTCCAACTTTTTCAAGTGTTGGGCCTTGTGATTTGTTTATAGTTTTCGCAAACGCAGAGCGAATTGGAAACTGGATTGTATATATATATATATATATATATATATATATATATATATATATATAGTGAACATTGAAGTCAAGACAGGTTGTTTCATGCGAGACGGAATCCTCATGTTCGACGATTGCGTCTGGCATGAAACAGCCTGTCGCCTCGAGTGTTGACTTCAATGTTCACTTTTATATCTCTTATATTGAGCAATTTATCCCATAAATATAGCACAACTTAAAATATATCTTTTATATATATATATATATATATATATATATATGAAAATTTATCCGATTTAATCGGTAGAGAAACAATATTATGAATAAAAATGACAATAGGAAAACTGGTAATTGCTGACGCGTTTTGCATTTGGACTTTATCAAAGTCCAAAAATACGAAAATTTTCGTATTACATAAATGTACGAATTTTTACTTTTATATATATATAATATATATATATATATATATATATATATATATATATATCGGATATATATATATATATATATATATATATATATATATACTATATATATATATATATATATATATATATATATATATATATATATATATATATATATATATATATATATTTAAAGAAAAGATATGGGAAAAACAGTATTGAATTTTTTAATAAATGAGTATTTATTTTAAGCATAATTTGTTTTTTAAAATAGTGGGAGTATTTTGTATTTTAAATAATAAAATGTTTTAATTTTTCCAAACACACTAATGAAAATTTATTATACGAAGCTACGCCCCCTAGTGAAATCAACTGTACTTTGTAACCCCTTACTTGCTTGCACTTCTAAAAAATTGGCTTCGATCGGTCAATGTGAGGGGCACGTGGAGTAATGGATAGCGGCTGGGAGTGTGAAACTGGAGAGCCGAGTTCGAATTCCAGTCCAATGTACGAATCGTCTTCTCTTACGAGTGAATAGCAGGACAGACGGGATTCTATAGCCTTGGGTGTGCCACCGTTATAGGAGAAAGTAAGTCTGAATTCAAAACTTTATGAAACCCTGGCATAGCTCATACTAAAGAAAGGATTGTTCGAATTGGCTCAATCATCCCGACTACGGTCGACCTGGATGGAACTTCTTTTTTTTTTTTTTTTGTTACTTTCACTGTTTTCGATAATTTTCCGGAATTTTGAATAATTTGAAGATATCTGGTGTCCGGATAATCGAGGAAGTGCTATATTTTCACCTCAATCACAGACCCACCGTCTTTCTTTTTTTTAACCCACAAATTGTATAATTTATTTTTGTTTTTCATAAATCTCTTCGATTCTGTTGTGTTGAAAGACCGCCTAACCTTCTCTACACTTATTGAATATGGCCTTGTCCAGCCGCGATGAATAGAAAATCTGCTCTTGGAACGGTGGCAAAAAAAAGGGTCATCTCGTGTAACAACCTGATTCAGTAGGGTGTTACGTTAAGGTAAATTTCTGAATATTGGCCAAAATTTTGTCGGAAGGGCGTAGCTCTTTCAATGGTACCCTCGCCGCACGGAATTACTGTATACTCAATCTATATTCTCGTGTGATTAAACCCTTCTGGACTCAATCATTTGCTTCCAGCATTTTCCTTGCAGGCTTACTAACCAGCAACCAAGAGCTTCACACGAACATTATAACAAATTCTTTTATGTTTTACACGTTATTTCTTGCAACACGTATTGTCACTTCGTCAAATTTCTCCCTTTTTTTTCATTCTTCATACACCATATTTCATTCTTATCTCATCCAAATCTTAAAAAATCCTAACTCAACCCAATACGCTTATCTCGGTCTGTTCATATCTATCTATCTATCTATCTATCTATCTATCTATCTATCTATCTATCTATCTCAACCTGTTCATCTCTCTCTCTCTCTCTCTCTCTCTCTCTATCTATCTTAGTCTGTTCCTATCCATCTATCTATCTATCTATCTATCTATCTATCTATCTATGTCAATCTGTTCTTATCGATCGATCGATCTCAGTCTGTTCATATCTATCTATCTATCTATCTATCTATCTATCTATCTATCTTTGTTCCTATATCTATCTATCTATCTATCTATCTATCTATCTATCTATCTCAGCCTGTTCATATCTCTCTCTCTCTCTCTCTTTCTCTACCTATCTATCTATCTATCTATCTATCTTAGTCTGTTCCTATCTATCTATCTATCTATCTATCTATCTATCTATGTCAATCTGTTCTTATTGATCGATCGATCTCAGTCTGTTCATATCTATCTATCTATCTATCTATCTATCTATCTATCTATCTCAGCCTGTTCATCTCTCTCTCTCTCTCTCTCTCTACCTATCTATCTATCAGTCTGTTCCTATATACCTATCTATATATCTATGTCAATCTGGCTATCGATCGATCGATTTCAGTCCTTATCTATCTATCTATCGATCGATCGATCATTTCAGTCTGTTCTTATCTATCTATCACAGTTTATTTATATCTATCTATCTATCTATCTATCTATCTATGTCAATCTGTCCTTATCTATCGATCACAGTCCTTATCTATCTATCTATCTATCTATCTATCTATCTATCTATCTATCTATCTATCTATCTATCATAGTCTATTCTTACCTATTTTTCTATCTATCAACCAAAAACAATTTCTTTCAACACGTATTGTCACTTCGTCTAATTTCTCCTTTTTTTTCACTCTTCGTACACCCTATTTCATTCTTATCTCATCCAAATCTTAACCGGCCCACAATCGAACCCAACCCTCTTATATTTTCCCTAAAATTCTCGCCTTTCCTTCGATTCGTGACCCTTAATTATGTCGTCACTGCTCCAGGGTCCTGAATTCTGGCGCTGGAACCATGTCAGGCGCCGATAATACATGCTTCGACCTCTTACCCCCGCTCAGTCCGAACACATCATTGACTGCATCGAGGCCAACCAATTCACTTCTTCTAACCCATCCAGACCCCGTTGTCTATACCTATGACGGACGCTCCTCAGCCGACCTACAGAAACAAGATGTCATCTTTTCAATCCGTCGAGCACGCACCCAGACGCAATTTCATTCAACTACTTATTTATGATTCACCAATGAGATTTTTTCCTATCGTCACTATTCGAAATAATCCATTTTGCTTTTTCTCGCTTTTTTCCTGGAAAACTTTTCTGCATATTCTTATCTATCTATCTATCTATCTATCTATCTATCTATCTATCTATCTATCTATCTCAATCTGTTCCTATCTATCTATCTATCTATCTATCTATCTATCTATCTATCTATCTATCATCAATCTGTCATCTATCTATCTATCTATCTATCTATCTATCTATCAATCTATCTATCTATCTATCTATCTATCTATCTATCTATCAATCTATCTATCTATCAATCTGTTCCTATCTATCTATCTATTTATCTCAATCTATTCATTCATTCATCATATCTATCTCAATCTGTTCCTATCTATCTATCTATCTATCTATCTATCTATCTATCTTAGTTTACCGATGTTTATCACAGCCCATTCATACCTATCAACCAACCCGCACACACACACACACACACATATATATATATATATATATATATATATATATATATATATATATATATATATATATATATACCTCACTTTTTATTTATATATCTGTGGTTTCTACTTTAAATGTCAATCGTAAGTTCAATCGACATATGTCAGCCAACAAAAACACAACTTGGAGAAAAATTAAAAGCAAAATATATCAGCGACATAATGTTTTTCTCACTTTATTCAGTTTCATTCTTTCTCTTTTCATCTTCTTCTTCATCACTTTCTTCTTCTTCCCTTTCTTCATATTATTCTTTGTCACCTTTTTCTTCTTCTTCATATTTTTCAGTTTCCTTCTCTACTTCACTTGCTACAACTTCTTCAATTTCTTCCTCTTCACCTCTTTCTTCTTCGATTTAGTCTGTCTCTTCTTCAATTTTTCCTCCTCACTTTCTTTTTCCCGTTCTTTTTTTTACATCTTCTTCACTTTCTTTTTTTCAGTTTCCTCTTTTTCTACGTCTTCTTCTCTTTCATCTGCTTCTTCTTCATTTTCTTCTTCTTCTAATTATTATTATTATTTTCAGTAGCAATAGTAATTGTTGTTGCTTTTCTTCTTTTCTAATCATTCAGGTATTTTTCTTTTATTTAAATTCTTCTTCTTCTTCCCTTTCCTCTACCTTTTCTTATTCACTTTTTCCTTCTTCTTCTTCTTCTCTTTCCTCTAACTTTTCTTCTTCACTTTCTCCTTCTTCGCTTTCTTCTTCTTCTTCTCTTTCCTCTACCTTTTCTTCTTCACTTTCTCCTTCTTCGCTTTCTTCTTCTTCTTCTTCTTCTTCTTCTTCTTCTTCTTCTTCTTCTTCTTCTTCTTCTTCTTCCCTTTCCTCTACCTTTTCTTCACTTTCTTCTTCTTCGCTTTCTTCTCCTTCTTCTTCTTCTTTCTTCTTCTTCTTCACTTTCTCCTTCTTCTTCTTCACTTTCTTCTTCTTCTTCACTTTCTTCTTCTTCTTCCCTTTCCTCTACCTTTTCTTCTTCACTTTCTCCTTCTTCGCTTTCTTCTTCTTCTTCTTCTTCACTTTCTTCTTCTTCTTCTTCTTCTTCTTCTTCCTTTCTACCTTTTCTTCTTCCCTTTCCTCTACCTTTTCTTCCTTTTCTTCTTCTTCTTCTTCTTCTCTTCTTCTTCTTCTTCTTCCTTTTCTCTACCTTTTTCTTCTTCTTCTCCTTCTTCTCTTTCTTCTTCTTCTTCTTCACTTTCTTCCTTCTTCTTCTTTCTTCTTCTTCTTCCTTTCTCTACCTTTTCTTCTTCACTTTTCCTTCTTCCTTTCCTTCTTCTTCTTCTTCACTTTTTCTTCTTCTTCTTCCCTTTCCTCTACCTTTTCTTCACTTTCTTCTTCTTCTTCTTCTTCTTCTTCTTCTTCTTCCTTTTCCTCTACCTTTTCTTCTTCACTTTCTCCTTCTTCGCTTTCTTCTTCTTCTTCATCACTTTCTTCTTCTTCTTCTTCTTCTTCTTCTTCTTCTTCTTCTTCTCCCATTCCTTCATTTTATTCTTAGTCGTCATGTTCTTTTTCTTCTTTACTTCCTTCTTTTTCTTTTTCACTTTCTTCGCCTTCACCTTTTTCTTCTAATTATTAGTATTGGTAGCAGTAGTAGTAACAGTAGTTGTTGCTTTTCTTCTTATCTAATCATTCAAGTATTTTTCTTTTCTTCTTCTTCTTCTTCTTCTTCTTCCCTACTTACTTTTTCTTCTTTTTCTTTTTCTTTTTCATCTTCATTTTCTTTTTTTTTCTTTTCCTTCCTCTTCTTCATTTATGCACGTATCTTTTCCATTGATCTGATCCCTCGTCATCTATTCCCCCCCTCTTCTTTTTCCATTTTTCCCTTTTACCCTGTTCAAAATATTTTTCCACTCCCCCTCAGCCTCTGCCTATTCCTCACTTTCTCCACCTTTCCTCTTCCTTCTGTCATTTCCTCCAGCCATTTATCAAACATTATTATTTTTTCCCTCATTTTTTACTTTATTTTACTCCCCTTGTTTCTCTCACCTTTTCACTCATGCCAAATACCTTCGAACACCCTTCCCCTAATACTTTCGTTCCTTAGGAAAAAGAAACACCTGACCACACCCTGCCGAAACATCTTCCTTGACAAAACTTTGGCAACTCTCAAAACGAGGACCCCCTTATCAGAAATCCCTTCTATCCAACCCAAACCATCATGCCCAACATTTCAAGATGGCTGTCGTGTAGACGCGGCCTGGCGCACAGAATTGCAATTTTCCGAAACATTCCGATCTTGTCCGTCCAATGGTTTCCGGCCCTTCGCATTATAAACGAGGGACACCTACTTCCGGTGTCTGCATCACAAGGCCTCTCTAGCGTGCCCCGCTCTGCCCACCGAGCCATGGAATGTCGAACCCTTAATGGCCACTGGCAGATTCAGCGTGACGTTGTCTACAGCTGAGGCTTCCTACCGTGGACCTTTCTCTTTTCCTCAACGAAAGCAACCATCGCTCTATTGTTCGGTAAATTGAAACGGCGCAAGGCAGGGGATTTTCATTCCTTCATTGAAACGAGGAGCGACTTTATTCAGAGTGAAAGATTTCAAGGTTTCAACGGGCAGATATGAATAGTAGTAGAAGTAATAAATCCGTTCACCTCTTCAGGCCTTCTTTCTCCTTCTCTTCTTCTTCTTCTTCTTCTTCTTCTTCTTATTATTATTATTATTATTATTATTATTATTGCGATTGTGACACTTGTGGTAAAAGGAATTGACTCGATAATGTTACTCAAACGACATTATGGAGTTTTCTATCTTCAGAATATGTCAACAATTACATGTTTTAATATAACTTTTTTCTTTCTTTCTCTTTTTCTTGCTTTCTTTCTTTCTTTTTTCTTTCTTTCTTTCTTTCTTTCTACGTCATCCTTTCTATCTTTCTTTTGTTTATAAACAAGCCTACTGTTTTTATTTACTTTTCTTTCTTTCTTTTTTTCTTTCGTTTTTCAACAAGCCTAATGTCGTCTTTTAATTTTCTTTTTTCTTTCCTTCTTTCTTTCTTTCTTTCTTTCGTTTTTCAACAAGCCTAATGTCTTCATTTAATTTTCTTTCGTTCTTTCTTTCTTTCTTTCTTTCTT